TGAAGTCCAGCAGAAGCTTGCCAACCACATGCTGAGTTGCGCTGAGTCGTCTCGCCGGAAAGCGTCCGCATAGTCAGCAGCCATATGGTGCCAGTCCAGCTCGCTGTTGGAAGGGAGATGGAGTTGGTATGCAAGTTGAGTCAAATTTACCGGCCGCTTTTTCCCGGGCGGTTTTTGAGAAACCCGTTTTGCAAAGCAAATACATATTTTTTGTAGAGGGTTGACATCATACACTGAAGAAAGTGGGTTTTGGGCGTAGGGGGCACTTTCAGGGAGGGAGGGAGGGAGGGAGGGAGGGAGGGAGGGAGGGAGGGAGGGAGGGAGGGAGGGAGAGGGAGGGAGGGAGGGAGGGAGGGAGGGAGGGAGGGAAGGAGGGGAGGGAGGGAGGGAGGGAAGGAGGGGAGGGAGGGAGGGAGGGAAGGAGGGGAGGGAGGGAGGGAGGGAGGGGAGGGAGGGAGGGGAGGGAGGGAGGGAGGGGCCAGCCTTCGATCTTCGAATCCTTGGTTTTCTTTTATCGAAACTAGAACGTTGATCGCCTACCCATTGCTCTAAATAGATACTTTGTTTTGGGGTATTGGTTGACGAACAACAACTGGTTTTCCATAGTCATTTTCAGCTTGTTTTTTTAGTATAGGCTAGACATCATACCCTTTGGAGTGGGGGTATGTTTGGTTCGGAGAGGACGAGAACAAGGATAACAAAAATACCCATCCATTTCCGACCAAAGCCCAGGAGTCGAATTGGCCCCTTGTTTTGCGCATGCCCTGCTGGGGTGATATTTTTGCCCATGGGTCATTTGAGGCCAACATTTGGGAAAGATGGCGCGACTCACTGATTGTCCCATGTCATGCGGGTTGACAGTTGACCTGGCAAATCCTCTCATCCCGGAACGAAGCTCAGTTGACATACACTCGGATCGAAGTTTGCTGGATCCACGAAGTGGTGGGCTAAACTTCGCGCGCTAAGGGAAATTGATTTGCGAGAAATTCAGCCAAGGGCGGCTTCGAGGATTTTATTTGCTCGGAATTTCATCCGGAGCATGCAATCAGGGTCAATTATCCTCTAATTAGGCAGGGTTCAACATCCATTCTTAGTCCTTATTTCCCCGGTGTCCCACTGGGAATATCGCTTACAAACATTCGCAGGCGAATTGGTGGTTTGGATTGGTTTGGATTTGGATGTGAAGCCAAAGTGGGCAAATGGGAAAAACGCAAACCAACCATTCGAAAACCTCCACCGAGCTCCAAACCAATTCTTCAGAGACGTTGAAAAGCGGTCCCAGATATCCCTTTTTGGGGGGTTTGCTTGAAGGGAAACCAAAAGGAAACCACCATAACGAAACCACCAAAAGGAAACCACCAAAAGCCACCAAAAAGAAACCTGTTTTGACAGGTACCCGTATTGTGGATGGTTGCGAGATTCATTTCGCTACCCTGCAAACTAATCGAGCGGCTTGCCAGGTATTTACTCAGACGGGGGTGCAAGAAGCAGATTTAGCAAGCATCCACAGCATGCAACTGCTTGACTTCCATTTGCTGAAGCATCTGAAACGAGTATTTGTTATTTTCTCTGGTCTTGAAGGGAAAATAGAAAAAGAGGAAATCCGCACAATAGCCAAATATTTGGCCCTTGACGTCCCGTTCCCGGACATATTCTTGACCGCTGCGTGACGCGACTTGAGCTTTCCAGCACCTCGCCGCTGCATGCAGCCACATGCGTTTCACATGCGGAGAAACTGGGCCCATTAAACAGGACTCCTTAAAAGATATATTTTGCCCATTTGAAACATGGCTTTTGTCACCAAAATAAAGGGACGCCACCAGTTGCAAGGCAATGTTCAGGTGTACAATGTAAGGATTCCTGTTAAAGTGAAGACCTGGAGCAAGGCAATTATTTTCCAGCTATGGGCTAGTGGGTACCCCCTACTCCAAATACCATCTTTTCTCAGGGTATTATGTTGACCCTCTCCTAAAATAGGAGGTGTGTACCATGGAAAACCAGGCCCTCAAAAAGCGGGTATTTTGAGTAGGGGGTAAAGTGGCTGGAAGAAAGTGGGGTTTCCAAATTGACTAAAATGGATAGAACCCATGCAGGTCCAAGAAGGGAATTCCCTTATGTTATTTTGTGTTTGGGTGCATTTGTTGCGGAAGATATGTGTTTTCGCAACACATTTAAGGGCCCAGTCACAGCCCTTGCTTGGAGTATGGGTTTCGTGGCTAGGAGTGCCCGACCCTCAACTTCAGACGTTTGCTTTCCGATTTTGCGCGCCCTCCTCGTGAGGCTGGAGCGTGCAAGTTCTCAATAGATTCTGGGGCCCCGGCGGCAGAGGGGTCTTTCCGTTGCATCAGAACCTTAGAAATGTACCCCCTGCTCAAAATACCCGCTTTTTCAAGGTATTTTTTGGAAAACTTGGTTTTCCTCCTTTTTCAGTAGAGGGTCGACATGATACTCTGAGAAAAGATGGTATTTGGAGTATGGGGCAGGTGTTGGTAATTTGGGGCACCTGGACCCTCAAACTACTCACCAAAAAACGGAATTCGCCAATCATTTTAAGTGGCAGTAACCTATTTCTTGTGGTATTTTCGAGTTTGGGGGTAGAAAAGGAGTGGCCATGTGTTGTATCGGGTATCCTTTCTCCCTTCGCGCTCCAAGTTAGGAAGACCTGGTGCAAATCCGTTCCTCTACGCTGATCCCTTGTTTCATGGTTGTTGTTGGGAAGCATTGTGCAGGTTTGCTTATTGTGGTTTAGTGGGAAATCCCCACTTAACTGCTAAAATTTAATTTTTTGCTCCCCTTCCAGCGTCAACTTAGGCAATAGTGCCGAGTAGAGTGATGCCAAAGGGGACAGGTACTTCCATTCGCTTCAGAATATGATTCTGTTTTCTGTTGCTTTTAAAACACTACTGGAAACATAGAGAGAGAATCCATGGGGGCTCAAGCAAATGGAAGGCTTGCCCAATGGACCAACTGTCTTGCTGGTGGGTTCTTCAGTGTTCAACCCAGACCTGGTTCCAATTCTTGCGAAGAAACAATCAATCGGTTTTACGGTAGATGATGTAGATGTGGAGATTGTGGGGAGTCGGCTTTTTGTGGCTGTATTTTTCTCGGGGGTCCCCTCTAACCCGACCCGGCTGCCCCATTTCCAGCTGGCCGTCCCCCTCTTTTTGGTCCGCGGGCCGTCGTGTGTTCTGGGACGTGAAAGCCTCAGTCCAAAACCGAGCTGAAAAGTCGCCATGGGTTTTCACATCTTGGTCCATGTTTCTATTTCTATGTGAAGGTCCCAGGTCAACCTTCTATTTCCAGGTCCTTTGGGGCTTGGGGGTTGTTTCTCAAGGTTCTGGGATCACAAGGGTTTATCCAACCACTTCTGTCATACAAGGGAAATCTCTACATTTACATGGCGGGGTGGTCTTTGGGTTTGGGGGACCTTTTTCTTTTATCACAGTCGGCATTTCCCACAGCCCTGTTTCTCGTGAAGGTCCCAAAAGGCCAACCTTCTATTTCCAGGTCCTTTGCGGGAGTGAGTCCATGACATTCTCTTCGAGCTGATTTCACCTTGGCCGCTTTGTTCGATTTCTATGGCTTATGCGCGAGGCCAACTCGAGTCTTGAACTTTCGCGATGCCAAGCAGTTCTGCTCCAATGAAACACCCGGACCAATTCCTCAACTCAGCCCTTTTGAGGGCCATTTTTTTGTTTGAGAGCCTTTGGGCTGCTGTTTTCCAACAAGCAATCGACGCGTGTTCTTTCTTGGCTTCAAAGGCGACGTGTCCCAGGGCGATCTGGGAGATTTCTTTTTGGCGGTATCTTTTTTTTCGTGCCACGGACGGAGACGTCTGCACCAGGAAGGTGGTGCATGGATGTTCATGTTGCTCTAATCCATACCAATACTCTGTGTCAACTCTGTGATTGTTTTGTTGGGCAATGATCTAATAGAGTAAAACTGAGCGGTAAAAAGTGCTGCGCGACTAAACCTGGCACAGAATAGTAAGTACCGCCTGTTTTTGTGTAAAGAAGGCCGGGGTTAAAGCGCCAGCTAGGACATAAAGCTAGATTGTTTGATAAACAGGAATTCATGGGTAGATAGGTAGATAGAAGATAGATGGACACAGAGCAAGATAGATAGGTAAAATGGTTTACGTAGAAAGATTATTAGACATGCAGCGAGATACATAGACATGTGGAGAATCAACCGTGAATATAAACAGGTAGGTAGAAAATAAATAGAACAAGAGAGAGCGATAAACATCAACATATATGAATATACAGATGAGATCTACGCGACGCGGTTTCCCGACAGACAGACAGGCAGGAAAGAACAATAAGATAGGAAATAAGAAAAAGATAAAGAACAAGACCAGAAAGAGAGCGAACAAAGATGAACAAAGAGGAACAAAGAGGAACAAAGAGGAACAAAGAGCAAGAGATAGCTATAGTCAATAGTTCTTATATGTGCGAAACTTCTGCCAACCGGTTCGCCGACTCTACTGGAACAGGATATTCGACATTCAATGCTGGCGCTGGCGCTGCCAAGGTGCACCTTGTGCTCTTCGTTTGTGTGAGAAATGTCAGTGCCCACGCTGGAGCCATCGCAGCGTGTGTGCTCTCAGTGTTGCGCTTGTACTGAGAATTTGCCATTGATTCTCGAGCGGTGCTCCCAAAGTGTACTTCGCGCAGTTTGTGCCCGAGTGCATGTTGGCGGTTTTGACACGGCTATGTGTCTCTGTATGTGCTATGTATCAATGAGCACGTTATCGTCAGCGCATGCATAAGCGCATCCCCGCGCACGCATGCGTCTTGCCACGAGCCTCGTCCTTGAGCGGCTTCGCCGCGGGCGGGCGGGCGGCCTCGCCGCTTGGCTCGCCACTTGGTCATGGGCGGCCGCGGCGGCCTCACCGCTGGGCCGCTACAGTAGCCGCCCACCCAGTTTGGATGTATAAACGTATACATGGAGACTGTTTTGCTGACACGTATGACACGTCCCAGACGCACCCCCATTCCCGGCCGCTCCCCGACGCGTCCACGTCCCCGACACGTCCCCGACGCACCCGCAACACATTCCGACACAACCCGGCACGTCCCCGACACACATAAGTCCCCGGGCCCACCTCCGGCACACCCATCGCACGATATGTTCCGCGCCACGTTCACGAACTGCGTGTGCACAAGCGCTAGCTTGGTATACAGCAGCCGTGCAGCGTCAGCGGGCTAAATCGGATATACCAAAACCTCGCCCTGCTCATCCATGCTCAGCCGTGCTCAGCCGTGCTCTGGTGTGCCCGTACTCAGCCGTGCTGAGCCGCACTCAGCCGTGCTCAGCCCTGTTCAGCCGTGATCAGCTGCTCAGCCGTGCTCAGCGGTGCTCAGCGGTGCTCAGCTGCATTTGTGCTTATAAGCCGATTCTACGACGAACCTGCTGGCACTCCCAAGCTAAAACGAGAGGTAAACATATAGAAAGCGGTGGAGGGCTAAGTAGAGAAAACAAACGGAGAGCAATCGTCACCCACAATGGACGCTCCGCTCCGGTTTGAGTTTTTGCCTCGTTTACCCATGTTTTTTTATTCAAAACAACGACCATCGAAACCGATGTCTAGCGTGTTCCGGCGGTCGTGCTTGTTTTTTAGGCAACACTTGTCAGCTTGGTTTGAAGGGCAAGCAGAAAGAAACACCACCTTTCTTGGGGCGTGCTCCGCCGCGCCGATCCACAATCCAAAACATGATTTGTGGTTGGCAATGGCCTTTGTCAGATACTTCTTGAGCCGTTGGTGGTTTGAACCCGGCCAGTCCAAGCAACCGAATTCGGAACTATGCTGGCGGCAGGCGCCCAGTGCCATGCCCTGAATTGGCTTTCAGACCTATAGTGATGTGTTGTTCGACTTTTGGAGTTCGCTTAGCCAACTGCACCAAACAACTCACTCAACTTCTTGTGGGGACCATTTTACTGGCAAACCGAAAGCTTGGGCTTTTTTTGGCCAGTCAACTTGGGAAGTGAGACAAACAGAGTGATCCTTTCTTTCTCATGGGAACCCACTTGGACAAACCATGTCAAAGCAAGCTCTGTGCCCAAAGGCCGTGACATGAAGGTTCCTTATGACAGTTGAGGCATCCAGAGATTCCACCCAAGCCCACTTCGGGGCCTGGAGTTGGACCTTTTTGATGTGTTGGTTTCTTCGGGCTCCCAACCTTGAGCCCACATGCGAAGCCTCTAAGCTTCGGAAGGGAGATCCGTTCACTCCCTTGAACAATCAAGCCCGAACACAGGACGCCTGTCGCCAAGGTCTATTGGCCATTAGGGAAAAGGATGCAGAGCTCCAGCTAAGTCCGGCGAAGCGCTGGCATGACCTCAGTTTCCAAACCAGGATCCCAAACAAAGTATCGCAGAAGGCTCCAACCGCTTTTTGGTTGGTTGTTTTCAAGCAACCTGGCAATCTATGGCAACACCCTTTCTTTTCTAGTCAGGGGTTAGCATGATACCCTAAACAGATTGGCATGTGGAGGCACGTGTCTGACCTGTCCAAAACCAAGCCAACTCAAATTGTTGATCACATTTTTTTTGTCCTCGTTTCTTGGTGTTTGGAGCCAACTACCAAAGTTCGAACTTCTTAGACTTGGCTGGCCTATCGGTTTCTTTCGCTTCCCCTTTCGACCTTTCATCCTTGACATCAAGTTGCACAGCTTTATGTCAAGTTGCACAGCTTTATAGGATGACTCCAGGGGTTGATCCCCCATTCTTTTCACCAGTCTTTTCAAAAACCGCCTGTTTCCCCTGGGTTTTTGATGGTTTCCTGAAACGAAGGATCCCTGGGAAGAATGGGAAACGTACCGATAGAATGACCGATGTGCAAATCGAAGAGTTCCATTTCTTAAAAACCGTCCTCTGGTTTTGTTCCCCTCAGGCATGGAGCGCTACGAGAGGATGTGAGGAAACCAAACTGCAGGTTGGATAGGTCTCTTTTGCTCTCCCTAAACATTTGGCAGTGTGGGTCAAAACCAATGGTACCATTTTGGGGTAGGTGCACCACTCATTTTAGTATATCTTAAATTTTAGTGGTTGGATTGGGATGTTCACTGGGGTTACGATTTGGCTTTTGACCCATGGCCATCTGCTCCAAACTGCCAGAAAACATCGGAGGCTGAGGAGCCAGCAGTCTGCATCCATGGCCACACGTGGAATGCTCTTAATCGGCGGGTAACCGTGCCGGAGGCTTGAGAAACTGAAAAAAAAAAAACGCGCAACGGAGCGTGTCACTGCACTGTTCTTGGATCAAGCTTTTTTTGTTTGGTTCTTTTCATTTTTAGTGGACTGCAAAAAGAAACGACACTTTTTGCTACCATATATCACGGGTTTTGCAGGGCAGCCTTGCTTTCTTCGGGGTGGATATCACCCCCTGTTTCGTGCTCTTAGGGAAAAGGGGCTAAACCGGCATCAAGCTCAAGGGCTGCAATCAGCGCGCGGGCTGGCTGCAAACCTTGAACCTTTCCTTTTGGGGTGCTTAGCCTGCAAAATGTTCGGATAGATATCTCCTTTTGGAGCAAGGCATGTCTCCAAAAACATGGAGACGGAAAGCTTCCCACCTCGGCATTGAGAAACCTGCGCCCGTGACTTCCAGCCTTTGTGGCTATTTGGTAGCGGATCTTTGGACTTTAACTTGTTGGCTGAAACAGCTCGGATTCGCCGAATTGGACCCACAAAAAGTTGAACACGCTTTTGTAGCGGGGTTGTCACCGCAACCAATGAGCTTAGGCGATGTTTAGCAGCTTACAAGCTGTGTGCCCCTTACACGAAGCTGTAGGCTGTGTGCCCTCCAAAGTTCAGATTCTCTTTCCCGCTAACAGCCAGCATAGGGTGGGTGGACAAAAACCATTTCGCGCCCCTTGGAACATGAAGAAACCATGGTTTTACATGCAGTACTTGCAGGCGAATCATCCTTCCAGGGTTTCTTAGGTGGTGCGAAATGAATTTGCGGTAGGTGAAAAGACAGTCCTTCTTGAAAGGACACCGGTGCCATTTTCGTGGGAGGCATCCAACAGGGCTGATTAAAAGATACATTTCGCAACCATTTGAAACATGGCCTGTTCCACCAAAATAAGGGAAAACCACCATTTACAAGGCAATGTTCAGGTGTAGAATGCATCCGGATCCCTGTCCAAGTTTTCCCGAAACGTGTCGGCCGCATGTGCGCGCGACCAGATTTTGTTGATTGATTTCTGGGGCTTCGTTGTGGCGCAGAGCTTCAGCTAGCCGGCTTGGCCTATGTCCTTTGAAATGTTCCATCCTCAGCCGTTTCTCAGGCTTTGTGAGAAGAATCGAAGGTTGAAGCGGATGTCCACATTGAAATCAAGGCCTTCAGTCCCTCCAGGTTCCCACCTGACCGCCTTTCAGAGATCCGGGTTGGTCCGGATTGGAGACGACGAGGGGAGTCTGCTCAAAACTATGTGGTTTCCATGTGGGATGTTCAATTCAGGAGGTTCAGGGTCCATGTCAATCAGTTAGCAAGTCACCAATTGTGGCCCAACCATTTCTTGACTGAAATCAACCTTTGGGACCATTTATAACATGTTTGCTCGCTAAGATGGTGAGGAAAGAAATACGTGCAAATCCCATTGTGAACAATGACCAATATCCTTCTTATGGAAAATCCCCCTACTCAAAATACCAGCTTTTTCCAGGGTATGTTTGTGAGAACCTGGTTTATGTTTTTAGTAGAGGGTCGACATGATACCCTTAAAAAAAATGGTATTTGGAGTAGTGGATCCTTCTTCTGGATCCAACCGAGCTGAATTGTCCTTGTGGTTTTCCTGTGGTCCATGGCTAGTCTGCTGGTGATTACCTTTTATTCTCCTCCTGTTGAATTTACAGGGGATCTACGACTGGAGATATTTTTCCTGGACCCGAAGAAACTACCTTAAACAAAACAGGAGTTCACCAACCGTGTCCCTTTTTTTGGGCACCCCCTACACCCAGTACCTGATTGACAGATGAGGCAATTCCCTTGGAAAACCGATCGGTTCTTCCAAAGAAAATGCCAACCAGAATAAGGATTATTTGGTGTACCCAGAGGATTTGCGGCCTTCAAAGAACCTGGTTTTGATTGAGACCCCCAACCACCAATTCCCAAAAAGTGTCTAATGGAGTCGGGTCTTCCATTGAAAGGTCCAGCCAGGAGCCTTTGGGTGGGAGGTGAGCCTACCCCCTACTCCAGACACCCACTTTTTTCTCGGCTATGTTTGAACTTGGGTTTCCATGCATAAATACCGATCCCTTTTTTAGTGGGCCGACAAGTCATACCAACTGAACAAAAAGCTGGGGTAATTCCTCCCTTTTTAGAGGGTATTGGGTGGTTACGGGGGTAAGTTAAGTTGGGATCCGAAATCCGAGCCATGGAGCTGACGCACTCCAACCCCCAGCTGGTGCCCCCCGAAACCTCCCTCGGCGCAGTGAGCGGCACGCCGCTGCATCGCCCCTCAGAAGCAGTGCCCGCGGGCCGATGGGTGAACGCTGGACGTGGGCGGTAAAAACCGGCGACCCGTTTCAAGGGGGTCGGAGTTCCGCGTCATGGACTTGCTATGACTTGTTAGCGACTTAGCTTTGCAATGTTTATGCTCACTCCCTGTACTTGTGGTACACTTTTGGGGAGTTGGTGGCCAATTGAGTGGTATAGACAGCTTGGAGACACTTGTTTTTCCAATCCACTGGATCGGAAGCGAGAAGCAGATGTTCAGAAGTGGCGCGGAAGCAAGGCAACAGAACAGACCGATGTCCAGGTTGCGGTGCAATTCTCTTTTTGCGCGGTTACCATTTCCCTTTAAAGGAAACCTCCAAAAGTGGAAGCCCATCAATTTGGGAAATCCGCTGACCCCTGTTGTTCTTCCTTTCTTTTGGAGGGGGCTTCTCTGTACACCCAACTGCTCGGAAGAAGGTGGCTGGTTTTTTAGACGGAAAGCTGAGGCGTTCACAGGCAGTCAGATCTTGGGGGTGAGAAACGGGTCGGCTTTGTAGTGACTCCTACACCCCATACCCACCTTTGTTAGGGTATGATGGGGTATCATGTCAATACCTGTCTAAGCAGGATGGTATGCACCCTCGCAAACCATGTTTTCCCCAAAAAACAAACGACAAAAGAGGCGGGTGTTTGTAGAGTAGTGTTCTTGGATGCTTCGACCCAGCACTGACACTCACACACACACAACACACAACACACAACACACAACACACAACACACAACACACAACACACAACACACAACACACCACACACGCACAACACACAACACACAACACACACACACACACACGCACAACACACGCACAACACACGCGCAACACACGCACAACACACGCGCAACACACGCACAACACACACACACACACAACACCACACACACACCCACACCCACACCCACACCCACACGCACGCGCACACGCACGCACACACACACACACACACACACACACGCACACACACACACACACACACGTACACACACACACACACCACACACACACACACACACCCACACACCCACACCACACACACACACACCCACCCACACACCCACGCACCCACCCACGCACGCACCCACGCACGCACGCACGCACGCACGCACCCACACACACACACACGCACGCACGCACGCACGCACGCACGCACGCACGCACCCACACACACACACACACCCGCGCACACACACACACACACACACGCACGCACACGCACACGCACACGCACACGCACACGCACACGCACAGGCACAGGCACGGGCACGGGCACACGCACAACACACACACACACACACACACGCACAGGCACAGGCACAGGCACAGGCACACGGACAACACACACACACACAACACACGCACAACACAGGCACAACACACGCACAACACACGCACAACACACGCACAACACACGCACACCACGCGCACAACACACAACACACACACACACGCACAACACACAACACACAACACACACACACACGCACAACACACACACACGACACTCGCACAACACACACACACACACTCGCACAACACACGCACAGCACACGCACAACACACACACACACACGCACAACACACACACACGCACAACACACACACACACAACACACAACACACACACACACACACACGCACAACACACACACACACATACAATACTCGCACAACACATGCACAACACACGCACACACACACACACACGCACGTGCGCACACACACACACACCCACACACACACACACACGCACGCACGCACACACACACACACACACACAACACTCGCACAACACATGCACAACACGCAACACAGACTACACCGCACACACACGCACACACACGGCCCTGCCGTTCGCCGAGGCTTTTTGCGCGGCTTTCAAGAAGGCTCCGACGTTCGCGGTTCGGCCGTTTCAGCTCGAGGCGTCGACACAGTGAACCTGTTCGGTTAGTGGCACGTTACTGTTTCTCAAGAAAGACTGACCGAAACAGTGTTCCTCAGAATTCAAACGACCCCCTACTCGAAATACCCGCTTTTTTCCGGGGCATTTTTGGGAAGCCTGGCTTTCCATGGTAAATACCAAACCTTCTTTAGAAGAGGGTCGACATGATACCCTGAACAAATGCCGCGTATTTGGAGTAGGGGGGAGTCAGAGAAAGTCTCTCCAAGACCTGCCTCAAAAAGTCTTTTGGGAGTTGACCTTCGTTTGGCTTCGCCATTCCTACTCCAAATACCCGGCCTTTTTTCAGGGTATCATGTCGTCCCACAAAAGGTTTGGTATCGACCATGGAAAACCCATCGGTTTGTAACCAATACCAAACATACTGTGGATGGACGAAATCCTGCACCATGTACGGAACCCTGGAATGACGGCTTCCCTGTAAATTCCAATAAGCAATGGTTTCCCATGGTTTCCAAGTGGTGCAGGATTTTGTTCATTCACAGTACCAACTAAAAACCAACGGTGGTATTTCGAGGTTACGGGGGTTGGACCGCCATTTTATTTCCAAGGGCACTGCTCGCACCGGCTTCTCCAGGCGTGTTCCAAGAGGAGGTGGCCCAATTTGTACAGGACCACGCTCATCACTTCGCCGTGCTGTGCGTGGATGGCCCCCCGGCAGTTCTCCAAATTTCCCGCTGGCGGGGGAGTGAGGGTTTGGAAGCCAGAGACGTTTTTTGGGAGTACCTGGAGCCTGAAACTACCCATAAACAGGGGACACCCCACAATGTCTGGTGGATTTGAAAGTAGTAACCCTAAGAGTCCTGATAAAATGTGGGACCGGTCCCAACCTTTTTCCTGATCGAACATGGATGGCACCTGGGACCCGTTCGCCTTGGGGAAGTTTCCTTGACTCAACTGAAAACCCGCCTCGGGGCTGAGCAATTTTTTGGGTTTGGTTGCCACTTGAGTGCAAAACGCAGAAAGCTCCTGGACTTTTTCTGGCCAATCCACTCGATCGCAATGCTTGCAGTTGGACAAACATGTTGAAAGGATGTCACAGGGGACCCCCCAAAACTCTTGGTTTGCCTGAAAGCATTTTTTTGGCAAGAAGGGCCCGGACAACCATGCGCATGGTTTGTTTGGAGTTTGAACCACCGGTTTTTGGGCGGGAAACCACCGGGAAGCCTTGAAGGCCTTCGTCCGAGGTTCTTATCCCTTGGTGTGGACGGAGCTACACAACCAGTACAAGGACCGGAACCAAGCCAGCCGTTCGGACTTGAGTTGCGAACTTTATATGGGTATGGCTCAAAAAACCGGTACCAAAAGGGAACCCTGGTAAGCGGAAACATGGACCAACACCTGCGTAACCCTAGCTATTTAATTTTGAGCCACTGCCATATGGGAAGCACCTCCAAAGATGTTGGTCATGGGTGTGTCTTGGTTTTTGAGGGTCCCCGTTCGGTTGGTTTCAAGGGACAACGACATGACCACATCCGACTCCAGGTTAGACTCCATGACCCTAAAACGGGGTCATTACCCAAAATAAAGGGGTCATGGACCCATGTTGTAAGGGTCATGGACATTCATGGACCCATGTTGCACCCAAGGACTTATCATGTGAATGTGTGTAGCATGGTAAAACCCATTTGTTAGACTCCATTTAGGGTTGCCGAATGATTGGTTGCGCAATTTGTTGACAAAGTTGTTGCATGAATGGTGGCTGGAACTCACTTCTGCAACCTTGGGATTTGAACCAGTAGCCACGACTCATTGAAGCCCATATTGCAAACCATAATCACGCAACGATGGGCGCACACTTTGAATTGCAGGGTTTTCCATGGTTTTGTGATCCCCCTACTCAAACTACCATTCTTTGTCAGGGTATGATGTCGACCCTTTGCCACAACAGGAGATGTTCAAAAAGTACCCTTGAGTCTGGTTTGTGGTACTTGCCTTGGCTTGCTGCGGCATCCACCGCGAGAGTTCCAAGCGAAGGAGTTGTTCGACCAGCAGTTCGAAGCGATCCTTTGGTTTCAAGACAGCCCCCCGGCGTGCGGTCGCGGGTCGCGTGCGGATACACGTCGTAAGGGCCGTGATGTGTGTGTGTGTGGCTAATGGTGATTCCAGACCCTCAACATACCCTTAAACCAACCCATTGTGTTTAGGGTAATCACCCATTGTTTTCGGTGGTTACAGGCTCCAGGTGCTTGCTTGTCCAACAAGTTTGCTTTGCTGAAGGTAATGTATGTTTCCCAACATGTTTCGTCCCAGTACGTTTGGAAAGTTTCGTTTGACGGAACTTCAATTCTTTGCAGCGGCCGCTCAAGCAACTCTGATACAAATACAACGAGCACGCCAGGGTGTACAGCGTGAAGGGATTCCTGATTTCTTTTGAGCCCTGAGTAATAACCCCCTGTTGATTAATATGGGTTGTCCCTGCTTTTCGTGGGCATTCATCACTTTTGGACCTCCTTTCTATAATGGCAAGGGAGGGACCGACCCAGAAAATCCAAGTACCACCCCTTTGGAGGCACTCCATTCTCAGGAGGTAGCCAGGGACCCTTTGGGTGAGGTATTTGCCCATAAGCAAATTGGCGAGTCCTGTTTTTTCAAAAGGAATTTTCAACAGGCCTGGTTGCTCGTTTTGGCAGAACGGGGGTACCTCAAAAAAAAGAGCCCCATTTGTTTTTCGAAGGGAGTTTTTGAGAATGGCCGGGTTTTTGTTTTGGCTGAAAGGGGGTTCAAAAAAAGGAGCCCCCCACGAAAGGCCCCAAACGAAAAAGCCGCCCATGGCGTTCCATCCGACGGATGCGACCGAGGCAGCCCGGAGCAGTTCCACGAGAGCTGCCGCAGCCTGCTGGCAGCCTGTGAAAACCTTCCCGAGGCTCGCAATGGGCGAGGCGCAAACTCATAAAATACTGATCTCGCACCACCCAACAAGCCCTGCAATCATGATTTCCCTGTAAATACCAACAAACAATGATTTCCCATAGTTTCAAAGTGGTGCGAATTGGATTTCGTCCATTCACCCACAGTACAGATGGCCAACCAGAAGCATGGAGTCCCCCCAACCACCAGTCTTAAGTACCAAGCGGATTCTGGACATGGGAAAAAGCAGTAGTTGGCCCATGTTTAGTGGTAATTACTTTGTCGGGTTTGGTTGCACTTTTGGTAAATCAACAGTTTGGTTACTCTTTTTGGCCCACCCGCTCAGGAAGTGAGCACCCCTAAATGCTGACAGAGGGCCAACCAACATTATGGGGTCCTCTTCTGAATGACTGCTGTTTGGACTTGGGCAGTTTGAACATGGTTGCAGAAGCAGTTTTGGGTGCTGGTTTGTGTTCCTTGTGGAAGGGTCATTTCAGGCTCCGGGTGGGCAAATTGCCACAACGCAACACGTTTCGCGGGCTGTTTGCGACGTGACATAGTTGGGTGTTCAGTCACTTCGTGTCACTTCTGGAATTATCCCTGATGCAGACCAGGGGGGTACAACTAAGTGGCTAACCACTTGGCCGAACATCCAAGAAATGGGAGCCCTCGTATTTTGTTGAATTACAACCCGCTTTCCCTTTTACTAAAAACTACTTGTAATAGACACTACCCCCTTTTACTAACCCGCTGCTCTACTAAAAGGGGTAAAAGGGGGTATGCACGCCCTCTTCCTTTTACTAAGTGGACCCTACCAATAAATCTGTGTTGTCGCCCCCAGAGACTATTTACATTTATTAGTATGTGGGGGGTGGGGGCCGCGTTTTTTAGGGGGAGCGCAAAACAGGATTTGCCAGTGGAATGAACAAACCCACTGGCCCACACGGATGGACGAAGTCCACAATTCGCAGCAGTTCCTCCCGTATCCTCCCACAGCCAGACCTCCAGTGGAAGCAAATGGAGGAGGTCAAACATCCAAAATCTAGCAAGCAAAGTCAGTCAACTCCCTGCAAGTGGGGAGAGCTCTGCTGCAGGATGCAGAGCTGGACGTGTCAGACTGCCGAGGTGGGGAGGGGAATTGGGTGGCTGGCAACTCAGGGTAAAACCAGAACTTACAAATGGTTCACTGGCCTGGCCCAAGCACCCATGATCAAGTTGGTAAATTTAGGGGAACTCACTTCCTAAGTTGGACTTTTTGAACTTTTTGGGTAGACCATGCGTGTAGGAAGCAAGTAGTTTGGTTGCTTTGTTTGACCAGTCCACTCGATCGGAAGTCAGGTAACTTGAGGGTCCGCCCCCCGCCCCAGTCTGCACAAGAGAAGTCCTCGCTAGGAGCTGGCGTCACGGTGGCGGCGTTCCGTAGCTTCCTGCTGGGGCCTCAGAACACGCGCTTTTGGCAATGGGTCTGCGTAGAATATTCACACCCCCGGGACACCCCCTTTGTTTTCCTGCAAGATATACGGTGGATGCCTTAAATCTCGCAAAGGGAACAGGGAACAGTCTAAGTTACAGCAATTTACCGTGGTTTCATTTTGCTTTTCGGTTGTTGCCTTGCTCAGGTGCCCAACGGGCCTTGACACAATAGGTGAACCTTTTGAGACCTTTACCTACGTGGAAAATGGGAACCATAGGTGGGGGCAGCTTTACCACGCCTTGGGGCTCGGTATGCAGAACCCAAGCCCCGGTCCCCGTACCACACCCCGAGTTGCCCTATAACCAGTGCTGGTTGGAATTTCCATTGGGGACTCATCAGAAAAACAGGGTTTCTGATTCCGGTGGTGCGAGGAGAGGATTTCGCGAAACCATCCACAGTAACACCCCGAGTTGCTCTAATTCGGGGTGTCAAGAGGACATACTGTGGATGGGCAAAATCCTGCACCACTTGGAAACCATGGTTGACACCATTGTTCATTGGTATTTACAGGGGAATCATTATTTTAGGGGAACGATGGGGAACGACTCACACAAACATGGGTACCGAAATGGTCATTCCAGGGTTTCTTAGGTGGTGCGGAATGGAGTTCGCAACCATCCACAGTATGTTGAGTTGAAGTCCCACCACTTCCCATCGACATGGTTGTTGTTGGGAAACATTTTACATTTCTGCTTGTTGTGGTTTAGTGATACATCCACTTAACTGCTAAACAATTTGTTTTGCTCCCCTTCCAACGTCAACCAAGTCGATCGGATGTTTCTTTTGGGCCACGGCAGACCGAGGTGTGCACTGACCGCCTCGGAGGACTTCGACAGGTTCCTGCAGGCCGCGGAGATGACCCAGGAATCCCCCCCAAAAAACATCCCACTTACGGTTGGGTTGGTATATTATGATGTTGGTATATATGTATATATCTAGAATCCTGATTTCTCCCACAAATGGTTGGGTTGGAATATGTCTAAAATCCTGATTTCTCCCGCTTGCTTGGGTTGGTACATGCCGGAATCCTGGGTTTATCCCAATGTTCAAGAGTATATTGTTTTCGAAGGACCGGTTGGTTCATCATAAGTGCTTTTTGGTGTGTCAACATGATACCCTTACAAGCTGGGGGAATAGGGATAAATTTGATCAATTTTCTCGCCGAGCTCTTCTTTTCGATTTGGGCCAGGACGAGCCTTTGTTTGACCCATCAAGGCCCCTTGTAGATGTCTGCTTCCGCTTGGGAATGCCCGGGCCCCTGGCTAGAAAGTCCCAATGCCCTTTCGCCCTGAGTTCCGTTTCTGGACTCTTTTTTGGGCCAGTCCACATCAGAAGTGAGATCAACCACCCAGTTTATGAATAGGGGGTGGTTTTGGCCCCACTAAACTCAGGGAATTCCCCTTATAAATGAACCGGAGGGTTGATTAATATGCGGTCAGCACCCAAACTACAAAAACATGGATTCCTCCCCCACCAGTGTGGTTGGTGATGTCCCGCTTTTAAGTTGGTGGTTCTTTCGGGTCAACATGAAGCGCTTGAGACGCTGGGGCCGGGCTTCGGACGTGCCAGGTGATGTTCGCCGCTTGCTGCGGCACCTTGAGACCCACCCTGGCGCTGCCCAAAGACCAACCTTCAGCTCGAGTGGTGGAGCTGGCGGTGCCCCCAGGCGCCAAGCAGCCGTTTTGCTAAGTTTTTCAGGGCTCCTTAAAAGATCTCCATTTCGCAACCATTTGAAACATGGCTGGCTTTTGCCACACCAGAATAAAGAAATGCAAACCACCAAATCCACAAGTTGCAACGTTCTGGTGTTTTTCATGCATCCGGATCCCGGTGTTTCTTCACCTGGTCCCCCCAAACCCGAGCCGAACACAGACGCGGCCGGAGCGGCGAGCGGCGAGCGCAGGCCTGGGTCCAGGGGACCTGGTCCGGGCGCAGTTCCTGGGCCAAGCCCTGGAGCTCCGAGTACCCCAGGGCTGCGAGGCCAGGGGCGACATGGCGCGAGGGGCAGTGTGGGCGCCGGGCTGTGTGAAAAATCTGCCAGGCAAGTTGCCTGGTCCCCTAGTGCCCGAAAGACCGTTTCTTTTTTTGGTTGGGAGATTCGGTTTCCCGACTAAAAATGGAGGACCTAGAAGGGGTGCCCCCAATTTTATGGAGGGTGCCCCCAAATTCCACGAAAAATTGGGTATTGTTCTGGTATTCCCACTGATGGAGAGCATTTTTGGTTGGCACTTCCCAAGTCTTAGGGTCCAGGTGCATAAACCTTTATATCCCTAGGTCCCCCAGTGCCCTTTGACCGTTTCTTTTTTGGTTGGGAGATTCGGTTCTAAAATAGACTACAGCAAAAAGGGTACCCTTATTCCAACCTCTCGACTGAAGGACCTAGAAGGAGTTGCCAAAAGGGCCCAGAGGAACGGTGGAAAGGGGATCAAACTGCTGACTGTGGTCTTTTTTCTTGGGTAATGTTGACCCCATATTCATCAACCAAGCGGTTTATTAGTAATTAAGGGAGTGGGATCCCCCACATTACCCAGACTGGGGCTGATTAATATGGGGTTAACATTCGCTGCAATGCTCAGTTGTGCCAGGAGAATCAAACTTTTGACCTTTCGGTGTCCCCTTTGTGGGTTCCCAGTTTTAGTGGTCCCAAAATGCGATCGCCTGTTGTTTTTCGGGTCCTAGCAAGTGAGACGAGCTAACCATCCCACCAGACCTAGAACGAGTGAAGGGACAAGGAAACAACTGGACATGATCTTCCACCATTCCACGTTTGCCCGAGTTTGTTTGTCCTTGACTAGTCTTTGATTGTTGTTTGTGTTTGTTTGGTTCTGTTCATTGGTAGTGGGCTGCAACACAAGTGTTTTCCACATTCCAAGCATTTTGGCATTTTGCTACGGCTCAGGCGCGAAGAGACCGGTTCGTCGCAGTTGTCTAGGGCGTGACTCTTCACTCTTATCACCCGAAACCAAAGAAATAAAGAAAAACAAGCATTCCCTTGAAGAGAAGGGTCGGACACTTGGAAACTTGGGGGATCCCCTCAGACTTTTATTTAGTTGTCCCTCGCTGAGTTTTGATGTTTTGGTTCTGTCATATGCCACGGTTTAATTTTCCGCACGGGGTTCACAAACGCTACTCACTCCCTGAGCTCCTGGACTTCATAGTTTTTGCGAATCAACTCAGCACTTGAAGCCCTTAGTTGCCCAAAGCCGACCTTTTGACCTTTTGGTTTCTTCTTGTTGGTCTAGTTTTAGTCATGGACCCAAAAGGTTACTGTAACCTTTTATTCCTGGGTCCTTTGGGCAAGTGAGAGCCTGAGGCATGTGTTGATTTTTCCGCAGGCAGGAATGAGCTTCACCGCGACCATCGACTTGTGAGAGTCGGGATGAGTCGGGGTTTCTTCTGAGCGCGAGCGGGAGAATGACCAGTTGAGGTTTGTTACATCCTTCAATCGGGGCTCCCCATACTCCGATACTCCCCCTCGTCGGAAACATCAAAACGCCAGGAGTGTTCAAGGTCATTTCAAGCCACGCTTTTTTGGAACAGCCAGCCTGTTTCATGTCGCCATTTGGGTAGTCGTAAGGGGCTCATGCCGCTGCAACCAAAAACTTAGGCCAACATGGCCCATTGCTTTTGCTGTGGATCCATATTGCAGCAAGAAAGGATTTGGTCGAAACAATTGTTCATTGGTTGTTACGAGGTGGATCATCAGAAACCAGGGATTAGGTGTAGGGGGACCTAATTTGGGCCATGAAATTACATGGATGACAATTGGCTGCTCACTCACTTCGACCTGCATCCAGGAAAAATTGCCCCACTCGCTGAAAGCACCGCTTGTCGTGGGTCAAAGACCACCCTAGGACCTTAGCTGCAGCAAAGTCCGTTCTGCACAAAACGTGCAGACCAACAGCAAGGAAGCAAAACATGGAGAACTCGTGCGGCGCGCGCGCTGGTCCGCCCCCTGCTTTGCGCGCATGTTTTCACAAGCTCACCAATCGTGGAATCCCAGAGTGCAAATCAAATCCTCGGACAATCAGGACCTTCAGGACGCCAAACTCCCAAAACTGGCTGAGCATGAGTTGTGGACATGGCATGGCGAGCACACGACGCAGGATCTTTCGCGGCTTCCTGTTCTTTAGTTGATGAACCATGCTAGCGAGTTTCAACTTTCAGGTCAGCAAACCACCTAACCACACAAGTTGGAGGGCTATCGGTTTTCCAACCGCATGACAGCACAAGTTAGGGGGGGCTTCCGTGTTTGCTTTCTGTTCCCTATTTGCCAAGCAGTTGGATTCCATGCATCACCTCACCACATGTTTTTTTGCCGTGAAGCGATCGATTTGTGCAGATGCCAGGCCGCTGAAGAACGCAGGAATGAACCATCGCAGAAGCGAGCCTCGGTCAGTTGCCCAAAGCGAATCGGCCGGATCTGACCTTTTTGGTTTTCCCTTGGTCATTTACCGTGCTCCCAAAAGGTGAGGCATTTTTGTTCTGGGTCCTTTGGGGCAACTGAGTTTTCGCCTTGCCTTTTTAAAACCTGGCAAGACCCTTCCGGCTTTTCGCAGATCTCAAAGGCGCAGTGTGCACCCAGGCGAGTGCCCTATGCTGGACTACTTAGAGGATTTACAAAGTGGCATCATGGGGGATGTACTAAATGGCATCATGAAACGCGTAATAGCTGGGGGGTTCATCCAAGCATTTGGACGCATGGAGACACACTGCCATGCACGAATTCGGGCGGTCTATGCAGCGCATAGCGGCGGTGTTTTGCGGCAAAATTCGGACATGCGCGAACGCCCCCGACATGATGTTTCCAGGACTCACTCCCTGAAACCCTGGGAAACAGGCGGATGAAGGCATGGGAGGTAGTGTATGATTATTCGCTGTTGTTGGCAAGTTTTTAGGTTGTTCGTGTTTTTTCTCCATTTTGTGTTCGTTTGTTCTTTGTTAGTAAGGGGCTGCAAAAATATATACTTTTTCGTTGCAATCACACCAGGAGTGGTAAAGGATTCTGGTTTGATTTGTTTGCTTCACGTATTTAATTGGTTGTTTCGGGTTGGCCGGGCCGGGACGCTAGGCTTCGGAGGTAGAGGAAGTTACTGGCTGGCTGTATTTCAAAACATCTGGGTGTTTACCCCCGCTCCAAATACCCGGCCTTTTTTTCAGGGTATCATGTCGGCCCTCTACTGAAAAAGGGAGGTATCTACCATGAAAAGTTCCCCCAAAATACCCTGAAAAAAGCGGGCATGTTGAGTAGGGGGTATTGGAAGGCGTGGCAAGTTTGGGCTTGGCCTAGCACCATTCAGCAAATGTCAGGTTGTCTCCTTCAGTTAAATGTTTGGTGGCTCGCCTTTCCTTTAGGGGTACCATATCCTTTGCTCTTTGACGGGCAAGGTAAATAAGGTTCTTATGTCAAGGCTTTACTGTTCAACCCTTGACAAGTCCTTATTTGGGGCCTCCTGCAATGCTATGTAATATTGGGCAGACTAAATATGATGCACAATCCATTAAAAAAAAACTTTTTCACCCCAGGGTTGGCCAAGTTGATTTTTTTTTGGGGGGGGGGCTTATCCTTGCCTATCCTTGGGTGTTCATCTTTGTAGGTTGCAACGGTAACCCAGGCGAGACAACCTGCTGATACATCCCCCGTTCAGTGGACTTAACCCGGTTAGGCGTGGGCAAACCATTTCACTTGGCAACACACGTCCAAGGAGGCTTCTCCAAACATAGGCTACCAGCAACCCCCCCCCCCCGGCAAAAAAAAGAAAAGGCTACCAGCAACCCCCCTCCCCCCCCGGCAAAAAACAAAAATAGGCTGCCAGCAACCCCCCTAACTTGTAAGGTCCGTTGGCCGGTGAAGGGTGGGGGGGGGAAGGGGGGCGCACAAGTGTGAGATTAACAGTTCTTGCGCTGCTGGGGGCCTCCAAGATCCCCCTGGGGCCTTCCCCAACCAAAAGGAGGATCGGATCCCTGCAGCCCAAAAAAAACCTCACCTCATGTGTTGGCTAGATGTTCGAAAGATGTTCATGGGGATTTGAAGGGGATCATTTGGCAAATATCCTACAGAAGTAGATCCACAAACGCCGCATCCAAGACGTTTCCTACAGAACCGCTTGCTGCTCAGCAGGGAATCCCGAATAAAGGAAACCAAATCGAGGATTTGTTTTTGTTTGGGGTCATTCAATTTCGATTCCTTCCCTGCATCTCTCGCAGCGAGAAAGTTGGGGCTCTGTGCTGGTGGTGTCCTTCCATTTGCTTCAGAATAGTTTGTAGTTTCCCTTGTTTCAAAAGGGAATCTATCACTACCCGGAAATATATATTTATTTGTTTATTAAACAAAAAAACAAAAAAACAAGAGAAATAAACAAAAACAAAAAAACACATTTTTTCCAGGGAGCTTCACTAAAATGGAGGTTTCGGGGGGGGGGAAAGCTCCGCCGGGAAGCCCTGAGGCTTTCTTCGCCGTCCATCACGGCGGAGCTGACGCTCTACGTGCCGTTGGCGGATGCCCGGGCCGTGGAGCCATCGGGCCGTCGGGTTGGGCGGGTGGGGGTGGGTGGGTTCAGCGGGGGGTGGTGGTGGTGGTGGTGGTGGTGGTGGTGGTGGTGGTGGTGGTGGTGGTGGTGGTGGTGGTGGGGGTGGGGTGGGGTGGGTGGGGTGGGGTGGGGTGGGGTGGGGGAAGGCGAAAATCGGGTGAGAAGGTTCTGGACGGGGAGCGAGGTTCCCCGAAGTATGACTCACATCATGACTTGCCTTGTTTTGTCACTCCCACCCCTCCCAGCCAACTGCCTCGTTGGCCATCCTTTTGTGTTCCTTTGAACCCATGTTATGGAGCTGATATGCCCCCTTTCAGGTCAAAATTTGTCTCCAAAAATCTTAGCAGATTCACTCTCGTCGTCGATTCCTTTCTTGGGTAATGTTGACCCCATATTAATCAACCCGAGTTTACTTTTAGGGGATATCCCTGAGTTTCGTGGGGAATCATCACTCTTGGAGGGGAGCACCCCCTAACCCCGGTTGATTTATATGGGGTTAACATTCTCCCTCATGTGTCTTTTTGGAGGGTACACATTTTGTTGGTCGCTTTAAAGGAAAACCATGTAGGGCCACAACCTCACATGTTGGGTCTGGCTGTTCGAGATTACATGTGATTCGGTCCCTTTCCTGGGGATCCCTCATGACCCCCAGCTTTTCTTTTGGATACACCTGTAGATTTACGTTGGTCGCTGTAAGGGGAAACCACCATTTTGGGGCGGGGTTTTCCACAACAACAACAGCAACCACACAGAATTTGGTTTCCGGATTCATCAGGGGGTGTGTTTTTTGTAAAGAAAGAACCCCCTACTCCTAATACCAGTTTTTTCAGGGTATGGTAGGATATGATCGCAAATCCTGACTGAAAAAGGAGGTGTTTATTTTTGAAAACCTGGTTCTTCAAACAATACCCCAGCAAAAGCGGGTACTTGGAGTAGAGGGAAGACATACTTTCTGGAGGCCCAGCTCTATCTGCAAATTTCCGGTCAACATGCCACCCCGAATCACAAGGACCAGTTGCCCCAATGCATCGAGGGGGTTCTTCAATTGGTTTAAATGAGGTCTGGGCTCGTAACCCGAAAAGCAGAGGCCAAGCGAATGCTTTGGTATGTCTGGGAAGGCAACCCCACCCAGAGGCCGAGCAGAGGGAGGTGCCAGAGTGCGCCAAAGAACCTAAAGTCCCGCATATCGAAGTCCAAGATTGGTCCCCCAGCTAGGTATCCTTTTCTCCTTTTTTTGGGGAGGGTTCCCCTACTACAATCGACTGCAGAAAGAAGGTACCCTTCTTCTAGCCTCTCTACTGGAGGACCGGTCAGCACTCCGCAGCCGATGAACCCCTTGGACTTGGATACGGGCCACGTTCTGTCCGGAAAGTGCCTTGAGATGAATGCCGCGGTCGAAGGCATTTTTTTTGGTCTTCAAATTTGGGACGCTGGGCGGGCTTGAAAAGCAATCCTGGCGTAGTCATAGGAAAACTTGGCCCTCACGGGGCCGGAGGTCTCTTCAGTTCGCCGGTCTCTTCTCGCCCAGAAACCCCCCCAAACAGGCCTCGAGCCTCAAAAAAAACGCCCGCCCCACCTCGCGCCTCCAAAAAAGAAGTCCGCGAAGCCGCGGCGCCCGCTCGACCTGTCCCCGAAGCCATTTGGACCTCGCGGCCTCGTTCGGTCAGCGCGGAACCCACCGAGTGAGCACCATGCCGGCTCCCTGGAACTCGAACCAGCCGCCAGGCTGATTTTTGGTCGTGTACTCGATACATGTTGGCTGCTATTGGGCAACGGATCTTTAGACTTTAACTTTTTGGTTGAAATCAAGGGGTTTTCGACCAAACCCCCCAGAAAGTTATTCACTTTTTGCAGGGGGGTCAACAGGAACCAAGAAATGTTGGGTGCGTCTTGACTCACTTCCCGAGTTGATGGACTTCAAACCTGTTTGGGAAGACCACTTGAGTGGCAAGCAGAAGGTTTGGACTTTTGATTGAAGCATCAACTCGGGAAGTAAGTTGCGGAGGAAACCTTCTTGTGGTTAGTTTCAATGCAACAAAGAAACACCAGTTTGAGCCTTCCCTCGTTTGGAGACTAACCCAAATAGCCCAGATGGATTGGATCTTGAGACTAGGACTCTTGAATGCAGAAATTGTCCCACGCATCGAAAGTCAAACCTTTTTGCGCCGGGGTGTTGAGTAGCGTGCTAGATTTGTGAGAAGCCATGTACGATTGTTTCGACTCACCCGTAAAGTGATTGCACTCTCGATAGAACTGGTCGCATCACACATGTGCCATCCCTATGAGGACAACAGAAGTCGCGATGAAAAGCAACTTGTTTGAAGGAAACGGTTGGGGGAGGGGGGTTGGAGCCTGCTTGGATGTTCGGCCATGTTAGCAAGTGGTTAGCCACTTGGATTCTGTCCCACTAACAGGGTTAACCCCACTGAACGGGGGTCTTCATTTGGAGGTTATAGCCTAGGTTACTTTTACAACTTACTTGCAGCCACCATTCTCTGTTGCCCAGTGGTGCCCTTTTCCCTTTTTTTCGGGTAAGGGTTCCTCTTTAAACTCAACCAACAAGAAAAGGGTGCCGATTCTTGTTCTCCCCATGGCCACTGGGCATCTGAGCTTTTGAGGGTCACCTAAATTGACAGACCCCCAGTTCTGTGCCCTTTCGCCATAGGCGGCCCCGAGGCGAGATGGCCAGGCGGGAGTCGGTGGGCCCCTCGAGTGCGGGCGACAAAAAAAACATACCCACTCCAAGGAACCCACTCCAACTATGTCAAGCCTCTATTGCAGAATGAGTTATGTACTCATACGAAGGCAGGTTTTTCCAAACATGCCCGGAGCAAAACTGCGTATTTGGAGGGGGTACCCGTTTTAGGTTGGGTACAAAGTTGGTATGGCGAAACAAAAGGGTCCACTGGCAGTTTTCTGCCCTATGTGCGGGGGCCGTGGCTTTCTCTTTGAAGGGAAGCCCCCCAAAAGTGTAGCGATCGGTGTCAATGGAAACCGCCAATAAATTGCAACCTTTCAAGGGGAAATTCGTTTGGACTCAAGTCCCCCAATGTTGAGCCGGATTCATTAACCCCTGGTCCCCTTGATTATTAGTGGGCCCCCGTTTGGCAGGGGTTCATCACTTTTGAAGGAAGCACCCCTCATAAATAGATCCGGGTCAACATGAAAAGCGGAATCTCTCATCCCCACCCCCTTAAAAATAAATTTGGGGTGGGGGGAACCCATTTGTTCCTATGGGCAAGACTAGATAAATGGCAACGACCCAAGTATGCCTGGAACTCAAGCTGCCCAAAAGCAAGAATTTCACCCCAGGCACTACCCTCCCACCCATTAACATGGGACCGAGGGTCCCTTAAGGAAATTGGACGTCCAGAACCCCCGAACGTCAGGTTCCATGTTAATTGGTGGGAGGTGACGCGAACCCATCTCTAAGGGTAGTTCTTTCGGGTCCGCCTGGATCGCCAAGTTGCGATCGCTTTTTTTTTTCAGTCACTGTTGCGATCGGTTGTTAGGGGTAAAGTTCATGGAAAAAAGCGATCGCAACTTGCCACTTTCAGCAACATTGAATCCCAAGGACTGAACCCCAGACCTGGCTCGGGATTGGGATTCGAAATCAGCGCCAAGCTTACCCAGTGGTATGATGGGGTATGATGGCAAAAAACTTGACCGACAAAGGCGGACATTGCCAAGAAAAGCAGGCTTTCCAAAAAACAAGTACCCCGAAAACGCGGGTCTTGGAGTAGGGGGGGAGCTTACGATTGAAAGAAGGCGTTGGCATTATGTTGTTTTTGGTGTGGATCATGGGGGGGGGTGACCATACATATATATGCTCACCCCCCCCCCCCAGGGCCTACCTTTCCACTTCAAAATGTACAAAACCCTCTTATTTTTAAAGACAGGGGGTGTGAGCATATATACGCAAGAAGTGTGCTGTTGCTGCATATTTTTTTGTGGGTGACAAGTCATGTTGAGTAACAACAGCAAAGAGTTTATAAACTTACAAGACAGTTTATAAACCATGTCAAGGGTTTGACGGTTTCCCTGCAACAAGGGCAGGGGGGGGTCAGAACTCTTTACGGGGGGGGGGAGGGGGGGGGGTTTCCCGCGTCAAGGCAACAACACCCTACGAAGTGTTCATGGTATCGTTGAAGGATGGGGGGGGGGGTTGGTTGGAAGTCTTGGGGGGGAGGGGGGGGGGTTGGTTGGAGGGGGGAGGGGGGGGGGAAGTCTTAGCAGTGAGGTGTGACTCAGCCAACTTTGTAAAGACTTCTCAGTACCCCCCCCCCCCTCCCCCCCAGTTCTGACGGGGGGGGGGGAGGGGGGGGAGGTTGGTTGGAAGTCTTGGGGGGGGGGGGGTGCTTGGAAGTCTTAGCAGTGAGGTGTGACTCAGCCAACTTTGTAAAGACTTCTCAGTACTCGTCAAACACTCAATAAGGTTTATAAACTTTCCTGAAAGTTTATAAACCTTCCGTAGGCTTATTGCGTAGCAAGTGGAGACTGTTGTTTGGGAAAGAAAAGGACACTTATTTGAGGCCTTGTTTGATGTGGTTTGGGCATGTGGTCCTAAAAGGTTGATGATTGTGTGTGTGGGTGTGTCATCACTGCTGCACTGTTATATCAAAGGCTGTCCATTCGGTCCAAGGGAACACAATCTGAGCAACTGCTGCAAAACACTTTGTTTTACAGTTTTTTGTTGGACCTGCAATCCCTTGAAATGTCCATAGTGAAGCACCTGAAACCTAGAATCTGGAGATCAGAATCCTCGAGATGTCTAGTGTTGGATTCTCCAAGCCTCATATTTTGGAGCTGGGAGTCCTCCAACATGTTTAAATATAGATTCCTTTCCAAATATACTGCGAATTGAATTGGAATGTTGAAAGGAAAACTGTTGTTTGGGGAAAACAATCTTCGGTCCAAGGGAACACAATCTGAGCAACTGCTGCAAAACACTGTGTTTTACAGCATTTTGTTGGATCTCTAATCCCTTGAAATGTCCAATTTGAAACACCTGAAACCTAGAATCTGGAGATCAGGATCCTTGAGATGTCTAATGTTGGATTCTCCAAGCCTCATAATTTGGAGCCTGGAGTCCAACATATCCAAGTACACATTCCTTTCCAAATACGATTTTGATCCGAATTGAATTTGCATATTGAATAGAATTTAGTAAGCACATAGTTCACCACCATTCATAATTCACCATCATGTCTATATTAGATCAGAATTTGAACAGGAATACCTTTCCAAATAAGGAAAATATGATTGCAGTAGAATCCAAATATACTTTAATGCAGACAGAATTCAATTAGCTTTTGAACATAATCTCGAACCCGCGAAGACGCAGTGGGGCTCTTTTTCTCTTGATCAACAAAAGGCTTCATGTGCACAAAGTGAAAAGAGCGACGTGCTCCCCTCACAGGCTCGCCTGGGATTTTGTCGCTCCCAGGGGCCATCTCCAAAATGGAAAATCCTCGGCCACAGCCCAAGCCTTTGTTCACTCATCTCATCGACGGATCCGAGGTGATGCCGCTCATGCAAAAGCGGCAAGGGCGTAGAGGAAGCCCTCGGATCGTGGTCGAATGCTCGTCCATGGGGATGCAGTTGTTCGCCGAGTGGAGATAGCCATCAGAGCCCCTCCACGCGGTTCCATTCCTTCCCCTTTGGTGATGCGCTCCCAGCCAGCAGTTCGGGCAAGGGAGCATGGCCCGGATGCCTCGCGCAACCGCACCTCGCAATCCCCAGCAATCCCGAGTCCAGTGATAGCGCTCCCCGAAGGACGTGACGTGGTAGAGCTCCACCATAGCCCCCCGCCGTGCCACCACATTCTCCGGCTCCGGTTCACCACCTTGTTCAGCTTCTTCACGTAGCTGCCTCAGCTCCCGCTGCAGTGGGTGTTGACCTCGCCTGCGAAGGCCATCAGCAGATGATGACGCCGATTCCGTGGCCGTGCTAGGCGAGCGACGCTCAAACGTCATCACCTCCTCCTCAGCTCCAGAGCTTTCTCGCACGCTCAACTCGCGCTGTTGCTGTTCCAGCCGGCGCTCCAAACGCTCCTCCTCTTCTCTCTCCTCCTGCAACCTCCTGACTCGCTCAAGCCGGAAGGTCCGGTTGACCTCTTCCCGAAGCCTCCGTCTCATGTCCTCCTCCGTCTCCACGGCCTCAGTCTGCACTTCGCACTTCCGGGCCTGCAGGTTCCGGCAGCCGATTCCTCTGCTCCAAGATCGCCCGCGCGGTCGATTCCACGACCCTGTAGCACATGATGGCAATGAAGGACACCACCACCACGAAGATCACGAGCTCATAGCCGCCATCACCTTCTCGACGTCCATCCTGGGCTTCTGTCTGCACCACCTGCGTGCAGAGGATCAAGCTCCCAAGGCCCATTCCTCCACTCGTAGTATAGGCGTAGTCGGCCAGGATCTCATAGAGTTCCGCCTCAATCTCACCGACGAGGTCTGCATGGGCGTTACACCCTCCTGATTCCATTCCTCCAGTCCACCTTCATCACTTTCCGGGAAGGTCCATGAAGCCACCATAGAGCTCCTGCACGGTGAAGATGCCATAGCCCGATTCCGAAGCAGCCCCTAGATCCCTGACCTCATCACACGTGGCCAGGAGACTCTGGTCCCCCTCCCAGACCGTAGGACTCTGCTCCTCGTCCTCGACGTCCAAGCGCTCTCCCAAGGACAAACGCCCTGAACGCCAAACCTCTCCATCCGTGATCGGGTCAAGCATCTCCTGACCACTCCACTCCGGCAAACGCCTTTCCTTCGGCGCCAAAGCCCTGACCTTGACGGCCTTCACCTCTTCCAGAGCACCTCCACGACGCCCTTCTTGATGCGGCTCATCGCCTGCCAGCAGCAGTCTGGCCTTGTCCAGGCCCATTGGGCCAGCGCCGCCACTCCTCCAATCAACACCAGTTGGCCCACAGCCTTCATCTGCCTGACTTGTGGAGAAAGACCACCACTCGCCATCAGCAGGCCACCGGCAACAACCGCCAAGAGGCATTTGACCATGGCCTCCTTCTGCTCCTCCACGTCCTCATGCTCCACGACCTTGGGGACAGACTTCAAGCCCACTCCCTCGCAGAACCGTTCCAAAGCCGCCACCGGCAAGCACTTCGTGAGCGCATCTGCCCACAATCTCGTACCCACCCGGTGTGTGAGGCTGAACTCATGGCCTCCGCCAAGCAGTTTGCTCTGATGCGCAAATGACGGGTGCGCCAGCCTCCTCCCTGGCCTCCGGCCAAGATCAGCGCCGCGCGGTTGTCATTGTAGATCTCCATGCTGATCGGGACCTCGAAGAGCTCCAGCAGCGCCCTCACTGAGCGACCCGCTTGCGCCCCTTCCATAATCGCCGTCAGCTCCGCCTCCGCCGTAGATAGAGCAACCAGAGACTGCTTCTTCGACTCCCACTGCACTGGGCAGCCCGCGAAGAGCAGTATGATGCCCGTGACGCTGTGCTGCTCCTCCACCCCAAACGAAGCATCCACCAGCGCCTCCAAAGTGCCAGCCTCCCGGGGTGTCCGCCGGAACATAGTCGGATCTGCATCCACTGGCACCTCCTTGGTGTAGACCAGCTTCTTCTCCCACGACGTGCTCAGGTAGGCGAGAACATTGGCTCCGAGCTCCAGTACCCACTCCGGGTTCCTCGTCGCCCTCGACGACATCCTCTGAACCGCCGCTGCAA